GAGAGTTTCTAAATAGCTCCTTGGCCCGACCTAAGTACTAATTAATATTTTCATACCGGGTCACAGGGGCGGCAAGCCACTCCCACAAAGGAGGCTACACCCACAGAGTAGATTCAAAAATTTTTTGAAACCCACCACTCCTCTAGACTCCACTACACTTTTTTTAAACTCTTGTTTTAAAATTAATTTGAACCCTTCCTGCCACAACTAGAATGGGGTCTGCATTTCCTTATCTTGGAAGTGTGTAGCCTAACTACTGCAGAACAATTTACTGTCCATGTGCTGCTCTGCAGAAAGGCAGATTAAAAAAAACCCCACCAAAACCCTATTGAACGCATAACTTCCAAAGCAGTTGGTAGGTCCTGTTATGTTCACATTTTGTAGGGATGTACCCAGTAATTATATTGCAATCTTGTTAGCACGCTTCCCAGATTGCACTCATGAATTCCTGCTTACCATTTTACTTACAGAAAATTGGTCTGCTGGAACTTAGAAGGTAGCAAAATTTTGTGGAGCTGCATGTAAGGGTTGCCAGCAAAACTGGTAAACTAAATTTTCCCCAGTTATCTGCTTATTGTCTGGACATTTCAATGTCCATAGGCTGTTGTAAGTTGCTGGCTTTGGGCTATAATAAAATATTCAGTTACTCATTCTTTCATAATTTGTTCCAGAAGGTCAGACTTCTTTATTTTGTCTCTTAAAGCTTCTGGACGAAGATAATAAGAGCTTGTGGATGGTATTAATATATTCAGATTTCTCTACTCCCCCCCCCAAACTACTTCCCCTTTAAAAGCATCTATTAGTTAATAAGATTCCCAGCTCTCAATGGGATAGAAGGTCAATATCGAATTCATTATACTTTTCTTCACTTAACTTGGAAATGTTTTTTTTTTCCTTACCTTGGGAGGAATATGCATGTCATGTATGTTTCAGACAGCAACAGCATAAGAGAGTAATTTTGCACGTGGTTGATACCCTCAGATTCAGAATATTAACAGAAATCACTGAGCATGCTTTCATTATCCGTTGGTATATATTATTTATTTGTTTTCTAATACATAACAATTGGAGGATAACAAAATAGAACCTAATCACAGTTTTAACTATATGGCAGCATAGTTGAGCATCTACGCACCCATTGAGTGTTTTATTTAAGTCTTAGCTCAAGCCGAGATATGGGAAATCCAGTGAAATTACTAAAATCAACATAGGGCTTTCATTTTTCATCATAAGGCGAATTTCAATATGTTTATCTTTAATTATACATGAGCAAACAGGAATCAGGTCTGTTGAAAATCCTAAGGGGGAAATATTTTTTTTTTGCTTGGTGTATTTTTAATTCTAGTTTGGAGATTTGTATAAATTTGATGCTACTTCAAGACAGATGCTGCATGGCAGTTCAGTTCTTTGGCCAGGAGACAAATATCTACTTTCTACCGTTGTTTACTGTTTTTCCCTTTAAATTTCAGACTTTGAAAGCGGCACAGCTGAAAATGAAGTCCCACCCCCTTTGCCTCCACATCCTAGTGAGAAGCGGTTCACAGATTATAATCATAGGTCAGAAGATGTTTACTATTTCATGTCTAGTGAGAGCAATGAATCTCTTTCATGTTATGTGGAAACTGGTTTTTCTTTACAGTTCATTTGCACCATAACATATCCTCTGATATTCAGCCTTCTTCTTCATCTTCCAAATCTGTTATGATTTGTTTTTCTTACTTACACTCACTGAACTTAAATGTTTCATCATCCCCCATTGCAGAGGTGGGTTCCTACCAGTTCGCACCTATTCGGTAGAACCGGTTCGTCAAATCTACCAAACTGGTTAGAAGAGGTTCCACCAGTGGACCCAGAAAGCAGGCCACACCTACAGAAGAGCTTCCAAAAATTCTTGAAACCCACCACTGGCAAGGATCTTGTAACTTGACAGCTTTAAGACTTGCATGCTTCAATGCCAGAGTTTCTGAATAGCTACTTGGACCGACCTAAGTACTAATTCATAATTTCATATCCAGTCACATGGGCGGCAAGCCACTCCCATCTGGTCAGAGAGTAGGTTCCAACAATTTTTGAAACCCACCACTGGTTCCTACCAGTTCGCACCTATTTGGTAGAACCGGTTCGTCAAATCTACCTAACTAGTTAGAAGAGGCTGCACCAGTGGACCCGGAAAGCAGGCCACACCTACAGAAGAGGTTCCAAAAATTTTTGAAACCCACCACTGACACACACACACACAGAAACAGAGAGAGAGACAGACAGACAGAAAGACAGACACAGAGAGAGAGAGAAAGAGAAAGAAAGAAAGAAAGAAAGGAAGAAATAAATAAAGAAAAAAGAAAGAAAAAGAATGAGAGATGAAAGGAAAAAAGAAAAAAGGGACAGAGAGACAAAAGGAAGGAAAGAGAGAGAGAGAGAGAGAGAGAGAGAGAGAGAGAGAGAGAGAGAGAGAGAGAGAGAGAGAGAGAGAACATGGCCGGCAAGCCACTCCCACCAGGTCACATGGCTGGCAAACCACTCCCACAAAGGAGGCCACACCCACAGAGTAGGTTCCAAACATTTTTGAAACCCACCACTGCCCCATTGGGTAGGAAGAAAGTGAGGCCAGTCAAAACTGAATTGTTAAATCTTCAAAGTTTAAACCCAACAAATATATCTATTGAATTGCTATAGCTTACTGTAATAATGGTTTTACTTCTAGTAATTATTTCTTCTTATAAACATTTTCGTTTGGGGGCATTTTGCATTTTTATATTTCATTGAGTACTGGAATGGGTGAAGGAGTTTTCATGTTCATATGGGATTTGAAATTTCATTTAAATGGAACGGTCCCTTTTTATAGCAATTTCCCCTTTCCCATTTTATTTTCCATTCAGATAGGAGAGTCTTTATCGACATTCTGAATAGAATTGGAAACTGGTTAAAAAATTGGCTATGTTGCAAACCTGATTGAATCAAACCACAGATAAGATGGAAGGACTGGGAAGCCTATATTCATGCACAATCCTCTCCAGAGTTTTCCCTATCATGTGTTCTGCCTTTCTGATTAGAAAGATATTTCAAAATTTCCAATTTTTATACAGTTTTCCTCTTTTCTCAGAAGAGATTTGCAGTGTTTCTTTGAGACAGACTGTGTGTCCATGTAATTCATATAATTCACAAATTTCAGTGAAATTTTGGTTTGGAAATATGTAATTTTCAGAATATTGTATTATTTTTAAACTTAATTTTAGACTTAGGTGTAAGATAATCATGGATCAGATAAGAGGCTGGAATCTAATAGTCCCAGTGATGGAAATTAGCAGAATCAAGAGTTCAGACATCCTTCCAGCCTGGCCTGAACAAAACAAAACAAATTATTGATTACTGTTAATTTTAATTTTAATTCTTTTAAAAGAAAATGTCATTGTCAATTTTAATTGGGTTTGGGATATTCTATTTAATTTTTTTAAACTTTTGTATTATGTGTTTCTTTTAATGTTGTACGCCGCCCTGAATCCTTGGGAGAAGGGCGGCATATAAATCTAATAAACCTAAACCTTCCCCATCACAGTTTTTCATTAGCCCTCCAAATCTGTGGAGACAGTTTTGAAGTATCTTTTTTTTGGACAAAGTTTGGAAGCAGAGCTAAAGACAGAGATTTGGGGAAAAGACTCGTGTTTACATGACATTGGACTGCGCCTTTGATCTTTAAAATTGAAAGGAGAAATAATTAAGTTTGGTCTTGATTTCCCGGCAAAGCGTTTTGCTTCTTAACAGCATATTCACATTTTTAATCATAAGCCTAGGCATATTATAGGGAATCTAACAGATTTATCTAATTGGAAACAAATTAAGAACCTGGTGATAAATGTATTAGATGATAGCACACTTTTAATACTTAAATTAATGTACTTTGTTAAACTTTAATATGCCTTATTAGTACTGAAATAATGATAAAGTGGGCAGAAAAGGTAAAAACCAATACCTTTGGGCTGGATGATAGTTACCCAAAGTAAATTTAGATTTAATGTAGGCAATAACTCATGCAAAAAAACCTTAAATGGCTTATAATAGCTAAGGAGAGAAAATGCATTATGTTGTATAGAGTTTAATTACTACATCTAATCCTCACCCCACATACTTGGTATGATTTCTTTCTTTCAACAGCACGGCAGCAGATTCAGAGACTTTTTTCCCAGATCAGCCCCTCAACTTCAGATCTTTGACCTTGTCCAAACAGACGGAATTAATTAACCTGAAAACCTCCAAGAGCATGGACCTTGGTAAGAAGTGGTGAGAAGATCGCTGTATATTCCCTTGTTCTATTTCTTAACTACACCTAATTCGGAAGAAAAATAATTATGAAAGGCCAAATTTGGCTGGAAATTAGGAAGAAAAATAACTTTCATGGCAGAACTTGTTGTTTAGAAACTGTAATGGTAGAGATTGAATTATTAAACCAAATCATAATATAATTTTCTTCATTTATACTTTGGCGCAATGTTTGAACCCAATATTTGGTTTACATAATTTTTGATCAAGGCATTTTACTCTTAATGCTTGATAAAAGCAACTTACCTTATATGTGTCTATATATAAATACTGAAAACCAAAGTTAGTCATATATTTTATTCATTGTGATGCCTTAGAATATTTTGCTTCTCTGTTTAAAATATTGTCTAGGAAATGGGGAGAAAACAAATATGATAATGACATATACTGTAGACTTTAATACAATAATAATTAGCACCATCAAATAATATCTGCCTTTCCCAGGTTCTTGGAAAGAACTTAATAGGTGGATAAAAATGCCAATTCCAGTCTAAACATCTGGCTGACTGCATGACCAACCATAATTTAATAATAATAACATGCATACAAGGAAATTGTGATAAGATTCTAATGCAGGAAAGTTGCCAGGTTTCTCTGTCACTATTCATTTAAGTTATTAGAGATTTTTTTCTTGTCATTTAGGGTTACAATTAAAATAGGAAGCCATTTCCCATCAACAGAAAAAAAACATCTGCCACATAAAAGCCCAGACTTAACAGTTGCCAATAAGAAAGATAAAAAATGTCTGGATAGTGGACATTGCAGTATCTGGAGAAAGCAGAATAGAAAAGAAGGACCTGGAAGTGGGGAGGGGGGATATAAAGGCCTGGAAATAAAATTAGAACGACTGTGGCAAAAGAAAGCAAATATGGTACCAATAATAATAGGTCCCTTGGGTGCAATCCTAAAACCTTTAAATGGTTACTTGAACACCATAGACATAGACAACAACACCATTACTCAATTGCAAAAGGTAGTTTTACTTGGAACAGCTTAGATTCTGCAACAACATCTTTAAGAGCATCAAACAACATTTGCCTATCCCCAGGTCCTTGGGAAGGACTTAATAGATGAATAAAAATGCCAACTTCATCCTAAACAGCTGGCTGACTGTGCAAGCAACAATAAGAATCCATTAACCCATTTACTATAGTGAGAATACAGAAAAAGAATCATGTATCCGATAATTTGTTGCCCAGGTCAACAACGACTACGTCAAATGTTAGAGTCTGAGCATTTGGCAGCAATGAGATTCAGGAGCTTGGCTGGGCAACCAGCCCCTAGCCCTCTAGGATTACTAGAAGAAGCACAATCACTGATAAGACAAAGGTATGTTGCAGTGGTGGGTTTCAAAAATTGTTTGAACCTACTCTGTGGGTGTGGCCTCCTTTGTGGGAGTGGCTTGCCACCCATGTGACTGGATGGGAGT